CATCATCAGCATCAACAGCAGCAGCGACATCCGTATCAACAACACTAGCGTCATCGTCAGTAGCATTTTCATCCTCGTGATCCTGATCATGATCGCCATCATCATTACCATTACCACCATCACCACCATCATCATCATCATCACCATGATCATCATCGTCATCACCATCCTCATCAGTACCACCATCATCATCAGCAGCAGCCTCACCATCATCATCATCATCATCATCGTCGTCGTCATCATCTTCATCATCATGAGCATCATTCCCCCTTCTTCCTTCACTCCCCCCTCCCTCCCCCCTCCTCCCTCCCGCTCCAGGGTCGAATCCCCCCCCCTGCGAAACTCATGTGTCTTCCTTTGCCTTGTTTTCTTTTTTCCGCAGCAATTGTTTTGGCTTGCCTACCTCACTTCGGCAGAGCCAGGTTAGTCCTGGCTATGATGATGCTGATGATGATGCTGATGATGATGATGATGATGATGATGATGATGATGATGAAGACGAAGCAGAGGGCTAGTCCTCCCCACACTCTGGCCGCGTGGTGGTGTGCTCGAATCGCGAACCTCGCTGCTTTTGGTTCGTGACCACGTGGGGCGGGAGAGGGTGTATCCCCCACGCGTCCCCGTTGCTTCTGGCGCCTGGGGAGGGGCGGGGGGGGGGGGCAAACAGGCACCAGCAGCAACGGGGAGGGAAGGAAGGGGCCCTGTTCCACGCTCCCCCCCCTCTCCTCGCGCCCCCCTACCCTCCTCCCCCCTGTGCCTTGGGAAACAGCGGAGGAGGAGGGAGGAGGATTGACCCCCCAAAAAAGCAGTGCATTGCAATGCAATCGCAGCGCGTTGCAATCGCATCGCATTGACTTACATTGCAAACACATAGCGTTGCAATTTGCATTGCAACCGCATTGCGCTGCCCTGGCATTGCGTCGCATTGCAATCGCATTGCAGTGCAGTCGCAACGATTGCATCATATTGGCATTTCAGTGTGGGGCAGTGCTGTGCTATTGTAGTAGTGGAACTGTAGAGCAACACTCTAGTACAGTACCCGATAGAATGAGAATATACTGTTGCATGCAGTGGATGTGCTCCAGTACTGTAGTGGGCTTTTAGTGGCGACGCTGCAATAGTCGTAGCACCGTACTGTAGCATTCGTGCTCCAGCAGTGCAACCCTAGGACTGGACTTGTGGTATTCGAATACCGTGACCAGCCGATAAGATCATTGTATCAGTGAAGTGGCAGCGCAGTAGCCATCCAACCGTTCTAGTAGCAGTAGTCGTAGTAGCAGTAGCAGTAGTAGTAGTAGTAGTAGTAGTAGTAGTAGTAGTAGTAGTAGTAGTCGTAGTAGTCGTTAGTCGTAGTAGTAGTAGTAGTAGTAGTAGTAGTAGTAGTAGTAGTAGTAGTAGTAGTAGTAGTAGTAGTAGTAGTAGTAGTAGTAGTAGTAGTAGTAGTAGTAGTAGTAAGTAGTAAGTAGTAGCAGTAGTAGTAGTAGTAGTAGTAGCAGTAGCAGTAGTAGTAGTAGTGGTAGCAGTAGTAGTAGTAGTAGTAGTAGTAGTAGTCGTAGTAGTAGTAGTAGTAGTAGTAGTAGTAGTAGTAGTAGTACTAGTAGTGGTAGTGGTAGTAGTAGTAGTAGTAGTAGTAGTAGTAGTAGTAGTAGTCGTAGTAGTCGTCGTAGTAGTCGTAGTAGTAGTAGCAGTAGTAGTAATAGTAGTAGTAGCAGTAGTAGTAGTAGTAGTAGCAGTACCCAGAAATGGAAGTAAATATCATACCCTAGAACTGGGTTTGGTAGTCGCATTGTCGTGCTGTGGACGAAATAACCCACTGCTGTCGTACTCGGAGATGGCAGTAATACCATCGAACTGGCGTGCGTTATTAGTAGCGCTGTAGGAATGATTTCGCACCGTTGGGGAACGTGATGTACTAGTGTAGTAGTGGCACGGTAGTAGCATTGCTCTAGTACGTGGTTCGTAAGAGTAGTACTCTACGATTGCCTGCAATACCATTGTAGGAATGCTCCACTGCCGCAGCATCGCAACCTTGCTGTAGTAATATCACAGTGTAGTGCTGTAGTGGTGGCGCTGGAACAGCAGTAGTAGACGCTGTAAGAATGGTGATGCAACGCTGCATCAGTAGTATAACAGAAGTGGTACATTAGCACTGTACTGGTATTGCTCGAATGCTGGCAGTAGTCGTAATGGAGCTCTAACACTCGAGTACTCAAGCACGGCCGCCGTGCCCTAGCAGCGTGGTGCCGTAGCAGCACTGCAATACTAGCAGCTTGCTGAAGTCGTAGTAGTGCCCTGGTACAGTAGTAGTGGTAACAAAAAGTGGCGGCTGTGGGAGCAGCACAGTCTTGTAACACTTTACTATTGTAGCATAAAAACAATATGGTATATCTGCTGTAGTAGCGAGGAAGTAGTAATACCCTCGTATTGTATGAGGCTCAGGCTAAGCGTTGGCTGAGGTTCGGCTCAGGCCGAGGCTCAGGCTGAGGCTGGGGCTTATCTTAGGCTGAGGCTGAGGCTGAGGCTGAAGCTAGGCTGAGGCTTCGGCTAGCCTTGGGATTGGCTTAGGCTGAGGCTTCCGCCGAAGCTTCGGCTAAGGTTTGGACGATGCGCAGGCTAGGCTTATGCTGAGGTATAGGCTACACCGAGGCTTACGCTTAGGCTGAGGTTTGGGTCAGGCTTAGGCTACGCTTAGGCGAGGATGAAGCTTAGGCTAGCCTGGCTTAGGCTGAGGCTCAGGCTAGGCGGGGGCCGGAGTTTAGGCTTAGGCTTAGAATTGGGCCAGGCTTAGGCAACGCTTAAGTTAAAGCTTAGGTTAGGCCGAGGCGGAAGCTTAGGCTCAGGCCAGGCTTAGGCCAGGCTGAAGAAGCAGAGGCTGTTCTAGACAGAGGCTGAATCTGAGACTTAGGCTAGACTTCGGCTAAACCTCGCTGGAGCTTAAGCTGGGCTAGGCTGAGGCTTAGGCCCTGCTTAGGCTGAAGTTTAGGCGGACGGCGGCGGAAAGAGAGAGAGAGAGAGGAGTGGGAGGCAGCGCCAAATAAAAAACATAGCGGGTATACCACGCTGATACCAACAGCAAGCAAACGATGCGCTCCGCCTCCCACAAAACAACATCTTTTAAAACGCAGGGGGGGGGGTCGACCCTTTAACCTCTCCCTCCTCCACCCTCCTCCTCCTTCTCCTCATCCTCCTCCTCCGCTTTCTCCTCCTCCTCCTCCTCTTCCTCCTCCTCCTCCCTCCTTATCCTACCGCCTCCCTCCTCTTCTTCCTCCTCCTCACTCATCCTCCCTCCTCCTCCTCCTCCTCCGCCTCCTCCTCCTCCTCTTCCTCCTCCTCCGCCTCCTCCCCATGTTCCGTCATCCCTCCTTCTCCTCCTCCTCCCTCTTCCTCCCTGCTCCCCCTCCTCCTCCGAAGACCCCCGATCGAAGGTAGACCACTCTGTGCACGGTGACACGGACCTCAGCCTGAGAAGTTGGCTGCTCTTCCTCCCTCTCTCCTCCCTCCTCCCTCCTCCTTCCTCCCTCTTCCCTCCTCCTTCCTCCCTCCTCCCTCCCTCCCTTCCTCCCTCCAGAAAGCCCGCAATCGAAGTTAGACCCCTCCGTGCACGGTGGCACGGACATCAGCCTGAGAGTTTGGGGATGTTCTGGCACGATTCAGGACTCTGTTCTGGCACGACTCAGAATCGTCATAACGCAACAGGAAAGGTGATCCGAGGCGTTGAAATTACAGGAGTGGTGTTCTGGCACAGTTCCGGATGTCAAAACGGTTGTCTTACATCGGGCCCTTCCGCCAGTAAAAATGGATCCTTGCAGGGGTACGTGAATAGTGTACTTGGAGGGACGAGGTATTGCAACATCGTTGATGAGTCGTTTAGCTTACACTGATCCTTCTCCTCATCCTGCTCCTCCTCTTCCTTCTCATCCTCCTCCTCCTCCTCCTCCTCCTCCTCCTCCTCATCATCATCATCATCATCATCAC